AGCAAAACCAGAGCGATCAATGAGATAATAAGTCCTAAGACTAGGTACTTACTTCGCTATGCATTTCCGAGCTCAATATATATGAAAAGGTCAGAACTTTAATAAGAACAAGAATAGCCGAATAGTCCCCGAAGAATTCGAGTTTAAACCTCCACAAGCTTAGTCTAGAAAAAATAAGCAAAAGAGAGCAATTCCCAAAAGAAAAAAAGAAGTAAAGTAAGTCTAGGTGGTCTAACACAAAAGGAACTAAATGTATGTATACTAACAAACGAATCACACACTTCTTTCACATACATTTAATGAAATTCAGAACTCGCAGGGTCTCCAAACAAATTTAGTGAGTGTGCGCCCGAACTTACGCGGTCGCGAACTACATCTCGCTGGAAAGTGTGGCGCGGGTCTCTCGGGTCTGAACCTGCTTAGCCGCGAATAGAATTTAGCTGGTCTCTCTCGCGCGGTCGTGAAACGCTTCTTATAGCGAGTGCTCGCATGCATTGGTCTCGCGCCTGAACTCGCGTGATCGTGGACGTACTCTCGTCAGCAAGTGCTCGAATCTTTTTGGGCTTCTCTCGTGGGCCTTCTCGCATGCTCGCAGAAAGCAAATCACCAACGAGTGTTCGACTTCTCTCGTTCTCTCTCTCGTCCCCGTGGATCATCACTTGCAACGAGTGCAACATGAAAGGCGTGGGTTTTGCAGGCCTCGTGAACGACATTTCACAGGCGAGTGCAGGGGTCACTCGCAGTCTCGCGGGTCGATGCTCGCAGGTAAGTGTCGGGTCAAGACTCTCTCTCTCTCTCTCTCCCTCGGGTAACGTGGATGGCTTGACAATGGTTCAGTTGGCTTGTCTTCCCAAGCTTTTCTTAATGGACCTAATCAGCATAAAAAAGACAAGAAAATACGATGAAATTCAAAAACACACAACGAAAGCAAAAATACACGAAATTCTACCTAATGGACCCGTCAACACTAAATAAAACGTAAAAAGACTCAATTAAGGCATATAAAACACACAGAAAACACCACAAAACACATCAAACAAGCGCACAGGCCTTCAACACAGTGCCCTGGGCCCGTCTCGCGTAGTGACCCGCGTGCACCATGCGTAACCCACGAGTTCTCAGCGCGATCCACATCACGCCTGCACGACCCGCGTTGCCTTGCCTGACCCGACATCAAGCTTTGTTAGTTTTCAGTGCGAACCGTAGTGCTCCCGCATAGAGTCTCCGCATCCAGCGCCCACGAGCCAGACGACCTTGGTCTTCCCGCGGGCAACATACATCCCGCGTGCTCCCAGCACCAGACACGGTTCTGTCCGGACATTAGTGGTCAAGTTTGGCCCAACTGCGTGCCCAACACTCAGTTCGAGCCCAGACCAGTTCAATAGCGGTCTAAGAGTCCCTGAGAGCCATCGCCGAGTCTCGGGTGGTTCGACCAAGCCACCGGAGGTTGGGGACGGTCCGACAGGAACGACGAGAGACTAGAGACATGGGACGCGAGGGACAATCGAGGTCCAGTGATGGCGAGGCCTAGTCTGGCAACCCAACGAACTTTTATGTTCAGATGAACTCTAAAAGCAGAAATCAGAAACGTCTCAGAGTCAGACAAAAATTTACCGTATGTCCTAATCCTAACAGTAGATTCCGCTGTGTTAGGCCTTATTTTTAGTGGATTCGAAAATGAACATAAGAAACGTTTCTCATAAAAAACACAACAGGCTTTGCAGCCTCAGGTTATCAGTTGGTAAATAGGTGTGAGTTGAGGCTGGTCTCAGGTTTGCTGGTTCGAGGGTGGACTACCTGGGAGAGTTTTCGTGGTTGGGGTTTCAAATCTTGGTAGGCGTCTTCTGCAGTTTCAGATTCTGTGCTTTGGCTCGGGTTTCTGTCCATGCGTGTGGTTGCTCTCTATGGTTGGTGGCGGGGTTTTGTGGAGTTGCTAGCTGGTTGGAAAGAAGGGATCTATTTTAGTTTTTTTTTCATGGTTTTGTTTGTGCCCAGGTTTGTTTTTGGTTCTAAAGGTGTTGGAGGATTGGCCACAAGTGGTTACAATCCCGTCCTAGTCGTCATTCAGGGTGGAGATCTGATGATTTCGTTGGCGTTGTAGCTAGGTGGACTTGTAGTGTGCTTTTTGTGTTTGTGTTGTAGACTTCATACTTTCGTATTTTTCTCGTGCTTTTTTTTTGTGTTTTGTGTTATTCTTTCGTAAGGGAGTGTGTATTCTTGCGACGGAGAGTATTATTCTTCAAAGGGATAGTAAGAGTGTGTATTCTCGTGACGAAGAGTATTATTCTCCAAATGCTGAGTAAGGTAGTTTTAGTTTTTTGTTTATGGGTGAGTTTGTTTTATATTGTTCTAGTGAATGTTCTAAGCGATATTTAGATATGTTCTCCTACTAAACTACCTTATTTAGCTGATAGATTCGGCTCTCAAACTGTCTTATTTAGATGTAAAACTGTTTTTTAATCGTATTTATGTATTTTCGACAAAAAAAAAAAAAAACTATAAAGAAATTAACACGGTCATTCCGTTGAATGTCATGATGATAGTATCAAAGGTTGGGTCACGTGTAAAACATGTGTGGCACAACCCTGCCCTGATATAATCTGGTTTATCAGGTTCTTGCACTTCATGAGACAATGCACTTCATGATGGGTCTTTAATATTATGTCAATGCTCCAAGAGCCAAAAGTAAATAGAAAAAAAACAAAAGAGCAAACTCTTTAAACTAAGGGGCTTTCATTAATAATAATTGCATGTTCTCTCCCTAAGACGTTCATCAGTCTAGTAAGGATTCGAATTCATATCCGATTTCACAAGTAATTAGCCGTGAATTCTGATCCTTTCTACATACATCTGATATCATTATACATAAAAATCACCTCTTTCTCGATCGGGAGAGAAAACACTACGAATTTCAACTTCAGACAACCATAATATCATTATACATTACAGTAAGTCCATTCAGCCTCTTTAACCATCTTTAGGTGCAGAACGCTGAGGATGGTTGTGATGATGGCTGTGATATATGATAACGTTAGGCCTCGTGTCGAAATTTCTAATAAATCGAGTCGTCGATTTCGAATTTAACTCCGCGGAAGGACTTTGACGCAAAAGATTTGCGATTGCTTCAGGCATCGGCTCACCATTCATCACCTTCTTCCAGTACTCACCGGGACCTTTTCTTGCACTAGTAACTTTGCCAACCTGATAATTATTTTTTTTATTAAATAAATAAATAAATAAAAGATGAATTGATGGCTATACATAAAAACATCGAAATGCTACAGTCCAGTTACGGAATAATTCCATCGCGATTTGTAACTGTTAGTTCACCATGTAACCGTTGTGGATAGTTGATCTAACGTTACAAACCCTAACAGAATGATTCCGTAATGGGACCGTAGAATCTTCAAATAAAACATTTATAAAAATAATACGGTTGAGAAACATTACCAGAACTAAAGAGAGAATAAAGAAGACTGTTATGGCTCTTGTTCCCATCTTTAAAAATTTAACACCAACTTGGCAGATAACCTCTCAGGAGTTAGTTTACTTACTTCTTGCTAACACTGCTACGGCCTCTGACTTTGTATTTATAGAGCCCAAATACACTATTTGAAAAAAATAATGAATTAATTAATTAATGACAATGAGAGCATATATATATAATAATCATGTAAATAAAAGTCAACACCACACGTTAGATGGCTGTGAATGTTTATAATTATTTGGATCAAGAAATGGTGGAGATTGAGATGAAAATTAAAAGGTTTAGTGCTGGCAAGTGCTTGCTGTTTATTGCGTGTAATATTAGTGGATGCCACCACTACTAATAAATATATAAATAATATACAAATTATTATAAAACTAGAGAGAAAGAGAGATAATAGAGAAAATATTTCTCTTAGGTACGATTTTCATTATAACTGAAGCTCCTATTTATAGGAAACTTCTGATGGCACAACCGTAATAATACAATTACATCGGGGGCAAAATAGTCATTCACATATATTATTTTATAACAAATAATTCATAACACTCCCCCTTGAATGACTATTTCTAAACATATTTTAACTGATTTGAACAACGCCCAACCTGAATATCTTGAAGTGTATCTTGTAGCCATCGGTACTGGTGCTTCAGTATATCAGGAAAACCCGGTGGGACAAAACCTGATCATCTTGAAATTATAACATTGCTTCCTCAGAAAACCCAGTGGGACAAAAACTGATCATTATGGAATCACAACATCTATCCTCAGGAAAACCCGGTGGGACAAAACCTGAGCATTGTGGAAGCACAACATTGCTCCCCCTCAAATAGATCATCTTTAATGGAGTATTCACGTGCTGCCTCGTTAAAACCTTGTCAAGAAAACCCAATGGGAAAAAACTTGATCGAAGGAAAAAGAGTACAGCTACTCCAGTGTTTTCTCATCATAATGAGGAATCATATCAATTATCCAGTAGTCCTCATTATATCATGAATGTGCCTCGTTAAAACCTTATTAGGAAAAACCCAGTGGGACAAAATCCTAATGAAGGAAAAAGAGTACACTATTCATGTGAATACGCCATCCATGTTGCCTCATTAAAAACCTTGCTAGGAAAACCCAATGGGACAAAACCTTAGCCAAGGGAAAAAGAGTACAACGCGTATTCCATATATTCACCATAATAACTTTTTCATGAGTATCATATAGATTTATTCAATTTTTCCGATACTGGTGGTATTCATCATAATATGTTATATTATGCTTTTGTGCAACTTTCATTCTTAAACTCATTTTCATCATCAACCGATTTCAATGGTCTTACTGCCAATAGTTCTCAATATTCTCATTTCAGCCATTCTCATCAATATCATTTATATAGCGCTATTCATCTGTTTGTGTCGACACATATTCATTTCCATTATTCCCCGTAATATATTGAGATATCTCATTATCAATTAATTTCATCGATAGTATATATATGCCTCCTTTCATCACTTATTTGGGGAATTTCAATTTGCACAATACCAACGCTTCCAGCGTATCTTTCCACCATCATATCATTTCATATATTTAACCACCATCAATATCATTCAGTTTATGATTTGCACACTTTCAGTGTGATGCATAAATCATTTTCAAAATTTCAATAATTGATTCTCCCCCTCATCTTAACAGATCTAATTTGTATTTTCAGTTTTGAGCTTCTTGAGGAGAGTTCATATAATCTCCATTTCGTTCTCGATTTCAACATATAATAGGAGGACTTTGAACTCATATCACTTGTAGTGTGCACATTTGTCTTTCATGAGTTCACCATATGAGCTGATTATATTACTAGCTTCATCACTTTCATATGACACTTTCTTTCATAATCATCTTGTGTCATTCTTTAATCAAACCATCTCGTAACTTCAGGTTACGTGTCATATACACATTCTTTGATCAAATCATATCGTAACTTCAGGTTACGAATCACACATGTGGCTATCTAGTGGATCCATAATATCTAGTAGCACACATGGAGGGGTAGTGGGCCCATATATATATCGTACCCCTTTCATACTCAGTTTGATCAAATATCGATTCACAAATATTTAGCTAGTAATAATTTAACCAATCGAGAACAAAACATCTCATAATCAGTTAATCATGCAAACCATCATAATTTATATCAGTAAACATCACAATAATTCATTGTGACCCATTAAACATATCACATCATCTTTCGGCGGCAATAAATGCACTTCAAGTGCAGATTCTGATCCACAATATTTAAATTCAGAACCGTATCACATGCGTATCAATCTTTCTGTCAGACATACTCTTTGTTTTTAGAGTCGTATAGCATACGCATCATTTCTATAAATTATCATGCAATCCATTTAATCTTTACGAACAAAGGTCCGAATTTACATATGGATTTGGGACTCTCAAATATCCGTAAATATTATTCTTTTGTTCCAGTAAATATCATAAAAAGAATTTATCGGTCCCGAATAGAAAGATTGAGGGTGCTGATGATTAATGATATTCCAGGTGATATTCGATGGTTGATTGAAGCAAAAGTTCGATTGTCGGGAGAGTTTCCAAATTCATACAAATATATGCCAGGTATGGGTAAGAGTACTTTTGCAAAGAAACGAAGAGCTAAACGATTAGGTGGGTGCTTCAAATGCGCTCGATGGACTTGTGACACACGATGTAAATCTGTGGGGTTCGTGTCCAAAAATCGAGAACATAAAATAGCATTTATAAAGGATGGATTGAGTAAGGAGTCTATGGATCAAACGATCCACCAGATTCTTGAGACACATCCTAGTGGGTATGTGCATCGTGAGCTTCTGTCTCTATGGATTCGTTTCAAAAATGAAGAGGAACGTTATAGTCTCGAAAATATTGTTTCAAAAGATCAAGTTTGTAAAACTAGTCTTTGTTAGTATGAAAATCATACTAATGAAGTTTAGTAGTTGCACTGTAATTTTCAGAGAATCTTATAGCTGCCAACAGATAACATTTATTTAAAATCTCATGCCTTATTTGTCGGTTGCAATTGTCAGAAGAAAACAGTAAAATTATTTATCGCTTTGTAGGACTTTCTATTTAAATAGCGAGTCATTCATCATAATCGTATGCCTTATAAACTTTTGAAAAATTAAGTTTATCAACAAATAGATGGATGTTTCAGAGCCTTCGCAAGGTAATAAATTTATTCAGCCGATCAAAACCATATGTGTTCTTGGTGGTTCTAGACTGGTAAGTTTTTCTCAAAATGTTGATATTGTGAGTCAGTTAGTAAGGGATATGGGAAATCAAAAAATCTCTTTACTGTATGGAGGGACTAGCATCACTTTCTTTGATAATCTTTTATTGGCCGGAAAATGTTTTGAGACAGAAGTGAAAAGTATCATACCTTTTCATAGAGCTTCAACAAGGGTCGTCAAGGATTCCATATGCATGATGCTAACTCATTCTATTCATGATTGTATGATGGATATGGCGAACAAGAGCGATGCATTTATCATTCTTCCAGGCGGTTATGGAATGCTAATGACGATGTTCATTCTTGCTTCTTGGGCAGAATTGAAACTTCATAACAAGCCCATAGGTCTATTGAATTTTAATAATTTTTTTTCTGGTTTGCTTGGATTTTTAGACCAAGGAGTATATCAAACCTTTATATCTCCTACAACAAGAGAAGTATTCAAATTTGCAGATACGTCTGGTGAGCTTATCAAAAAGCTCCAAAAATGCATCACATTTCAAGATTATGTGGAAACACAAGGGGTCAAACGAAAAAGAGCTTTTGATCCTTTAGATCTCTTATTATGAACCTGTATGACAATAATGGGTGGCAGAGTTACGGAGTTTTATACTCTCGAGACGCACCCTTCTTTTATGGGTTCTATTATGTAATATTTACGTATTTCGTATTTATCGAGTATGTACTGCCTCTTCTCCATATTTCCATCATGTGCACTTTCTGTACTTGTTTCTTATTAATAATAATATCAATTTCGCTTTTCCATAAGATAAGTGTATAGTACTTCATGACTACAATTATTGTCATGTGTGCTTCTTCTGGAGCACATCATTGTAATATCTATATGATCTCGTATCTCAATGTGATTTCGTCATCTGATATATTTCCTTAGTCTCATATAATATATTGATTGTATGATCACCCATAACTGGTAACTTTTAGTACCACTTTCTTATTTGGTTCAATCATCCAATGGTATCTTCTGGTACCATTTCATCACTTTGTTAATCATAACGTGGTAGCTTCCAGTACCAATATACCAGATATCATTTAATCATTTATGTAGTAACTTATGGTACTACTTCATCAATATTCGTTTCTCCATCAATAAATTTGGAGAATTTATCAACTGTCTTTCAGGATCATGTTAGTCCATATAATATTCGTTCAAGACAAGTACTTTAATCGACTCTCACATGGCCATATAGTAAGTATCATTAATTTCATTCATCGACTATTACTCAATTGTACTGCCCGTCCGCCGGCGGCAGATCCGCACTGGCCGGCCCATGTATATATATAGCCATTCAAAATTTAGTGCACATAGCCGTCATCTGGCCATTCCATTCACCGGCTATTATTAATAATACACTGGTCGGTTCATTTAGCCGTTTACTACAATCTGTTGCTAATGGTTGCAATATTTGACCATTTCACATAGCTGTTCATAATATTTTGATCAACAATTGACATGTCGGCTACCATAAATATTATTTGTAGGGGGTAGAGCCATATTAGCCGGTCCTAGTAGCCAAACAAAATTATTTTCATATCACAAGGGTCATAAATATTCAATGTTCACTTACCAAATATTACAATAATCAACTCATGAATATAAACATACTCATGTATCAAATAATTTTCACAATAACAAAATTCAAGCATTTTAAAATCATATAATATAATAAACCATCTCGATATTGGTGTTAAAATGAAGCTCTAATTTTATAGGACATTGTGATATAA